CTGCCTGCCTACCTACCTACCTACCGACCGACCTAGGAAGCAAGAACCTAGATGCCCGGCACTGCCCATCTGCATCGAAGTTCAATTCACTCAACGCAGATTTCAATGCAATACATGTCCATATCATCTCTGCAGACGATCGGACGAATTTGGTGAGTGAAGTGGTGGTGTCATTAACTTCATTAGCTTTATCTGACAGTGCGTGTGACTGTTGCATGAGGTTGGAGAGCATAAAAACCTAGGTCTTGGGGGGGCGGGGGCGAGGCTACCATAAATGTATGTATGTCTACATGCATGCATGTCTGTGCCAGAGAAAAAGACGCCCCAGAGTCAGAGCCTACTTTGCCATGTCTTGTCACACGGCTCAAGACCGCACTAGATGTGCTGCTCAGACAAATGCGATTCCGTGAACTTTCAGGATTACTTTGGCTTCATATGTTGCGTGAGTGCTGCATGCCACGTTAGGGTAGTTTGTGCGGTTTCCTGCTATAGTGTACTTTTGTAGTGTGGGTATTATATATATATATATATATATATATATACTGTATGTGGACTTCCTGGCATGCTTAAATAAAATTGCTCACCGACACACTTACGTGTTTGCCTAGTCATTGACTTACTTGGTCTATCTAAAGGCCTTTTGATCCGTCTATTTGGTATTCATGTATATTCCGTCATTCAATCGTTCATTCAATCATTCATTCATTCATTCATTCATTAATTCATTCAGTCAGACGGTCAGTCAGTCAGTCAGTCAGTCAGTCAGTCAGTCAGTCAGTCAGTCAGTCAGTCAGTCAGAACTCAGGTGCTTGATTTATCTGTTTGCTTGTTCTCTTGTGCATAACGTATGACATGGGGTAGGTACCGTCTGCAGGGGACTTCTCAACAGCTGCGTCGGAGCTCAGGGCGTCACGGGTTGAAGCCGAGGCCCAGGAAGCAGAGCGAGGACAAAGGCTTGCAGCTTAGCCGGGAGAGCCTGTTGTTGTAAGCCTCGGGACCGCTTTACTCTGAACTGAAGGGGAGTCGAAGCAGAAAGACCCGACGATTCTGCCGAGGTCTGGGCCCGCAAGAACCGGAGGTTCGGCGGCAGGTACGGGAGGTCCAGCAGGGAGTTCCGGGACACGTCCAGGGACGTGAGCTGAGAAAAGCCCAGCGCATCCTGCGTTTTGCGGCAAGCGCGGGCAAGCTTTCCGAGCGGCAGAAGACAGCAGAGATGGCAGAACTTGCGGACCTCTCCGAGCTGGCCGATGCGGAGCTGAGGCAGGCGGAGGTCGTGGAAGAAGGCTTTCAGGAAGGCGCTGGAGCAGAGGTTGGGGTTTCGGGGGCCCACGCGCTTCACCAAACGAAGCAGCTTCTCGGCATCGGAACTCCAGCCGTTGCTTTCGCTCTCCAGGCTTTTGCCCTCGCCTTTGCCCTCGCCCTTCTCCTTGCCTTTCCCTTTGCCCGGCTTTTCTGTGCCCTCCTTTTGGCTCTTCTCCTTCCCTTCCTTTTGGCCTTTGCCGTCCTGTCAGACGAGCTCAGGAACGGTCAGACCTGCCGAACGAGCACTGCGAGACTGGAATCTGCTGTTGTTCTACGCTCCTTGTCTCGGCTTGTGGGCTCCTGGCACAACGAGAGCACGGCCCCCATTTGGCTTCATGCTCTCCGGCCCCTTGCCCACTGTACGAGTAAGTTGTAAAGTGACAGAGGAGCCCCCCGAAACCTGAATCCGACAGCATCCCCTCCTCCAGGATGGTGACGGGCCCCTCGGAGTTTTCAGTGTCGCCGGCGAGGCCCCCAAGCCTGACAGAGGCATGGTCGACGGAGGAGAGGTAACAACAGTGTGGCCATAATGCCAGATGTACATACATACGCAGACATACACAGACATGCAATGTGTACTGTATATATGTATATATAGACATTCAAACTACACTCTACATACACGCGTATATATACATATACACATACGCATACACTGGCATAGACACAGACATAGACATGTACATGCATATGTACATAGAAATATACATGTACATAGACATATATATATATATATGGTACCCCCCCCTCCCAAAACCCACCCCAGAATATCAAAAAAGTCGACGTGAGGCCAACAGTTGCCCATATAAGGCCCCGTAAAAGCCCCGTGTTAGTGCACAGGGCCGAGGAACAACTTTGCGGACCAATCTTGGTTCCGAGGCCCGAGCCCGAGTTAATTAACACGGGCCGTGTTAATTAACACGGCCCCCAAGAACCAAGAACCAAGAACCAAGATTCCTAGAA